GAATGTCCTTTCAAGGTCCTTCTGACGGCAGCGGTAATTTCCTGTCAGGTAACCTATGCAGAAAAGGTGTCCAACATGCCTTCCAATGTGAAGAGTTAAACAGATTCGCGTTCGAGGCATGTTCTCATTAGGTGCAGGCTTCATTAAAAGTAATTAAAACTTGGCAAATATTCTTGTTGGATGATTAAAAGGTCATCTCCACTTCTCCTTTGGGGAGGTCATTGCCAGTTACCAAAACTGAACACCTGCCTTTACATCAACATGGCTGCTGCCTGAAACTTAGGAGCACACGGCATTCCCGAAGCTGACAAAAAAAGTGGGGCCTTACGTTTACCTAAGTCCTGAATAAATGTGGTGGATTTTGGGACACAAATCTGATTGTCCTCCTTAGGCCAATATTAAAAACTAAGTTAGCTTACTTAGGTGTATGTAATTTCTAAAGAATATAAAATTGAATGGCAATGAATGGTCATCTTAGTGGTATAAAAAACACATCGAAAAGAAAGTGTCTCTCAGTTTGAATCCCAATTAACGCAATTAGTGTTTTCCATGCTCAGTTTTGGTGTACTGTATATCCAAAAACCTTCCCCTAGCTACTCTCACGCTTCTGTATGAGGGCCTGTGTTGCCTTGGAGGCTGAGAGGCGGTGATTGAACCAAACTCAGTACAGGGTCCAGAGGCTCTTCTGAGTCTTTCAGTTGACTCTTCCTATCCCCTCTGGTCCAGACCTCTTCACAGCCACCATTGCTTTCAACCTTCAGAAGTCTGCGAGGGACAGGCATCATCTTTAATTTACGTACAGATGAGGACCAGAGGCCCCAAGGTTTCAAACGACTTGCCCAAGTCACAGCTGGTCAGCTGGAGCCCTCTCGGTGGGAAGGGTAGAAGAGGGTCTGGCCTGGCATGGACCTCCCCCCCCCCCCACCCCCGGCCTGTTAGGTCATTGGCCCACACCCTCCAATGAGGCCTGCCCCACAGCTGTGGCAGAGCACTAAGAAGGGAATTCCTCTCTCAACTCCCAGGCACAAACGCAGAGTTCACGGGCCTCCACTCTTCCACAGATGAACATGTGTTTTTGTGGAAAGACCACACAGAGGAGTTGGGATCTCTATGCTGTTTCCAGATCTGGCCTACATTGGCTGTGTAGCCCGAGTCAAATTATAGAACCAAGGCCACATTCAGCTGGAAGGAATTTAGAGATTGCCTCTGCTGGTGCATCAGAACCACCAGGACAGCTCATGGAAGCACAGATTCCTGGGCTTCAGTCCCAGGATTCTGACTCAGTAGGTCTGGGGTGGCACTGAAGATCCTGCTTTTCTAGTAACCTTCCAAAGCATGAGAGTGCCGCCGATACAGGCACCCCACGTGAGTATCACTGGCCTATGATAACCTTGTCTTAAGATGGGTCAGCAAACATTTTCTTAAGGGCCAGGTAGTAAATATTTTAGGCTTTGCAGGCCGTACAGTCTGTGCTGCAACTATTCAGTTCTGCCGAGGTAGCTGTAAGTGGCCGTGGACGATCTCTACATGCATACGGGCCTGTCTGTCTTCTGATAAATCTTCATATCAACAGGAGGCCCCAGGGCTGTAGTTTGCCGATTCCTCACCCCATGCTGATAGAATCTGAGCTCTTCCCCACCACGCCTTGCTTTCAGCTGTAAAATGGGGATCTATTCCTGGTCTTACTTCTCTCCGTGGCTACGATGAAGACAAGGTACGATAAACACTCAGAAAATACATTTTGTATCAGGTTCAGTCAGTCCCATATTGTCAGCTATGCTGTTTTTAAGCACAACACCTTCCTTTATTTTAGTAACCATTGAATTGGACTTATAACTATCCCCTTGAATTATTAGGCATCACATAAAAAGAAACACAAAAAGGCTAAGAGATGACAGAAGGAATCATTTTGAAGGGGAACTTAGGAACTCTCTTTGTGTCAGAAAATCAAAATGTAGAACTCTTCCTATGTCAATAATGCCTCCACGAAGGAGAACAGAAAAATGAGTATTTAACAAGGTTAGTCAGACAAAAAACAAAGTTTATGACGGCGTGACACACTGCTACTGCCTTCGTAAAATATTTTAATTAAAAACCATTCCATAAACAGAGGTGTAACCAACAAGTTATATTATTTTTTATTCATGTTAGAATTTCTATCAGTGTTTGAACATTAATATTTAGAGAGTTTGTACACTTTTGCCTTCTGAGGTTTAAAATGAGAACCACACTAGGTCACAAACGGTAACTAATACACATTCCACAACTGCATGAATATTCACTCAATCTCCCTCCCTTAACACTGTTAAACATTTTCTTCTCCTTGCTGTACTTTACAATGAAAAGTGTGCCCCACTCATGTCTCAGCAAAGTTCCAGACATTATGGATTCATCACATATAAATTCTTTAAAAATATACTTCTGTCAAAAGACTTGATGACTACTATGTACACTACAAAAATAAATTTTCATATAAATAAATTATATGGCATACTTTTATCTTTGTAATTGAAATGACACAAACCCATTTCTGCCCAAATGGGCAGACAATGAGACCCAGTTTGAATATTTCCTTTAAACTCCTTACACTAAAACCTACCATGAGTCCTTAATGAAAATGTTATATACTCTGAACTATTTAACATTAGTAAGCACTCTATACAAATAAAAATTCTGTTCAAAGGTAAAACATAGCTGTAATAGTGTTTCCAATAGAAATAAAATCCCTGCATTTTTCTGTTATAAACTGGCATGACAAATACTGTAGGAAAACATTCTTATGATACAAAATTATAAATATCAGCAAAGATTTTTTTTTTAAAAATTAAAACATCCAAATGAACAAACAAGACAGACAAAATAAAACTATTTTAAAAAAGAGAGAGAGAAATTCTGGTTGCCTGCCAGCCCCCGAGTTCTCCCTTTGCCAATGTGACTACTGGAGAGAGCTCTACGCTGTGCAGAAAGCAGGGGCCAGCCAAGCAGTCAGGCACCATGCAAGCTGGGCTCAGGAAAGGAGTGAGGGCACTCCTCGAGCCAGAGGGAGGCAGACCTCTGAATTTTGCATCATCTCTCTCCTGGATGCGGGATATTAAGTTTTCTGAGCAGAGCTGAGTGTTAGGTAGACAGACAGTGTGGCTGACAGAGGCACCAAACAGTAGCAGTGGGGCCATTTGGGCCCCTGGCATATGAACACACGCATCTGGTAGCCACAGTCTCGCGGTGAGTTTTACAGTCTGAGGTCACTACACTGCTGGTACTACTGTGGGCCGTTGCCTTTCGAATAAGATTTTCCATGTAAAACAGGAGGCATAATGGGAGCTGCCATTTGTGCACTCCTACAGTAGCTTAGTCTGGGTACCGAGTGCTTCCCCAGCATTTGTTGGTCTCTGGCTAAAAGCCTACGAAGACCAAACCTCAGAGCAAGAAAACAGAATTGATATGGAAGCAGATCTTTAAAAATAACACCTGGTTGAGAGATATGTCTCTATATACATTCTTCAGTGGGGGTTATGCGATTAGCATCTTCCTGCTCTTCAATAAATGTCACATTGAAAGAATACTAATGATGGTGAGAAGAGGGGGATGAGATACTTAGGAAGCGTGCACCCATAATGTTAATATTAACACTTGGAGGATCATCCTTCTGAAGCTCATATCCTATAGAATTTCCGATTCCGTATCTCCATATTGGATGCTCACTATTTTAAAGAGGAGGCAGACAAATCCAGAAAGCCCCAACCGTGCCATTTAGCAAGAGAGGGAGTTTAAATTGTAGGGACTCAAAACATCACCTCTGGGTCTGTTGTGGACCCAGAATTAAGGGGTCATTGTCTCCAGAAGATTTCCAATCCACTCTTAAATTTGGGTGGTGATAGTGGTGGTGGTGTGTGTAAGTGTGTGTGTGTGTGTGTGTGTGTGTGTTGTGCGTTGGTTACAAGAGAGGTACAATGAAGGCTGCGTACTTTAGAGGATACGCTCACGGCCCAGCTGAGGCTCCCACTGGGCATGTTCTCTAGGTCTTTAATACCAATGAAGATGAAGAGATGTGAGCTCTGTACCCTGAGGTTCCAACATCCACCACAATGGTCCATGCGAAGGAACTTATCTCCTCTGAGGCACAAGTTGGGGTGTCTGGATGGCAGCCAATAATCTTAAGAGATGCCCTGAACTTGAAGTGAGTCTGGCAAAAGGATAAAGGAGATGTTTAGGGCTAGCCCTCCGCCAGCGCTAGCACTATAGAGATATCCTGACTCTTCTTCTGGCCTAAGGTAGAGCCCACCACGGGTTCACAGACAGTAAAAAGAAAAAAAAGAAAAAAAAAAAAATCACAGTACAATACATTGGGAAATCACACACATGTTCACACACACAGCCAAACAAGAGAATCTCATCCAACTACACCTAGAGGAGCCACCGGGGTTAACGTGCTTTCTTCATACTTGCTCATTAAACAACAACAAAATTATCACGCATAGCGTGTTTGAAAGTTAACAGTAACATTTCATACTACCACAGGGTTGTGATATGCAAATTTAAAATATTTTAAACAGAAACCTTTACAAAATAATCCTATTACATAAGCAATATTTGCATAGAATTATACAGGTAAATTATACAATATTTAAGCAGCAGCAACATATGCTGAAATTTAAGACTAAGTTAAGCTTGGTTGTGGCACAGAGACCAATGTACAAATAGGGAGGGGCTCCGCTGCGGTCTCCCCACCGCCTGCTCCGGAGGCGGGACTGCAGAAAACCCAGATCACACTACTTTACATCCGTTCCCTCGTATATTACACATGTGTACACCTCTTAAATATTTATAGAAATATTTCACAAAATAATACAATCAGTTACAGTAACAGTGAACTGCTGTCTGGCACATCACACCTTTCTAACTCCGCAGCTCTCTCCAAGCAGTTCTGGTGGGGCAGGGTAGGGGTAGGGAGGGGCTTCCAATCTTTGGCCTCTTTTCCTCATTTTTTTCTCCCCCTTTAAAAAAAAAAAAAAAAAAAAAGGAAGTCAAAGTAACAGGTCTACGAGTTCCCTATTTATAAAGCACAAACACAGGCACAACGGGTCTGGGGTATAGAGATCAGGATGGTGGGGGATGGGTGAGGGCATGAGGGGCTTCCAGGGGTGGGTCATGATCTCTCCCTTGACCTGGGGGCTGGTGACAGGGATGTGCTCACTTTGTGACTGTTCACTGAGCTGTGCGTTCATCAGACATACCTGCTATGGCTTTAAAGGACTGAAAAATAGGTGATAGGGACAGCTGTCAGTGTCTCTGTTGAGATGCATTAAACCTCCACAGGCTAACTGTGAGGGACAGATCCAATCTGGAACTCAACTGGTTCTCCAAGGATGACGAAGCTTAGACAGGCAACCCTGCCTGTGGGTAAGAGGTCACTGCGGTTCAGTAGGGGACACATCAGTGCCCAGGGCTCCAGGAGGATGCAGCCATCTGCGTCCCTCTAAGTCCCTGAGGGGTCACTGAAGAGCAGTGCCTCTGAGGCCCACCCACCTGCCCACCGGCCCCGCCCCACCTCAGTTGGAGCTGCTGCCCTGGCGCCTCTCCTCACATTCCACGTCCTGTAGCTCAATGACCTCCACCTTGGGATCCCTCCTCTCGCAACGGACGTTAAAAGGCACATGGGGGTCCTCAAACAGCCCGTGGTCAGTCTCAGGGTAGTCCTCGTAGCCCGGGCGAAGCCCCCCTCGGGGGTTCCGACTGGGCCCGGGCGGGGGGTGCACTGCAACAGTCACGGACGCCGAGGCCGTCACGGTGGTGATGGGCTGGCAGTAGCTGGGCACGGAGCTGCCCGTGGCAGTGAACGCTGGGTGCCGAGGGTTGTGAGAACGGGTTCCCCGGGGGCCCGTGCGGTCCCTATTGCTAGGGCCAGAATGCCCTTCAGTAGAAATTTCGAAAGCGTCTCTGCGCGGTCTGTAAGGGGGCGGCCTCAAGCATTCTCTGGGGGCCTCTCTTCTGGGCTGCTGGCCTGGCCGTCCGGGTGGCAGGGACCCTGAGTCCAGATGGGGCTGCTGTCGAGGGTTGGAGGGTGGGTGCTGCCTCGGTTCAGGATGGACCACCTGCAGAGGGCAAGGGCAGGTTGAAACAGGCCGGGTGCTAACCCCAGGCTGGGCATCGGCCCCCGCTGCCCCAGCCCTCCCTTCATGGCTCTGACTACCGCCCGGCCACCCACACACAGCTCTTTCTGAACTAGAGCTTAGTCAACCCCACAGATGGCTGGAAGCGCCCCAGGGAGGGACCAGGGGCCTTCCACCCACAACGACGTGGCAGAGGTACGCCCTGTTTGGACCCTATGCCTAGGCTTTCTCCAGCACAGCTGGCCGGACACATACGGCTGCTGCCCATAAATGCAGGGCTGTGGTCTAAGTACCCGAGCTGCCTCTCTCCCACAGTCCGCCACGCCACCCTGCCGGGTAGAATCTGATCTCGAGCTCCTCTTCTTCTAAAATGACTAAATGTCTGGCCCTGGCTCGCCCAAATGCAGGACGTTGCCCGGACGTTACCTACACTGTTGAATATGGTAGCCATTAGGGACATATGGCTATTTACATTTAAATTAACTAAAATTCAAAACTCAGCCCCTTAGGTCGCACTAGTCACATTTCAAATGCTCCACAGCCACATGTGGGCAGTGGCTACGGCACTGGAGAGCATTTGCACTGTCACAGAAAGTTCTACTGGGCAGTGCTGCTCTATCCTGTTGTTAGGAATCTGGTTTCTGGGTCTCTGTACAAAGCATGGAGCAACACAGTGGCCACATCAATCAAAAGGACCGTGACCAACTTCAAAGTCGTTCAGCTTGTACCTATTTTTAGGCTCCCGCTGAACAAAACCAGATTCACACTGCAGCTCAGCAGGCATCGTCACGGGGGGTAAGAGGAAGAAAATTTAGGTTATTTGGTTGGCCTCTCTCTCTTTCATGGAAGGGCAGCTCCAGCCTGGGACTGGAATACCCATTTCCTGGAGGGACAGCAGGAGGCCCCCTGTCAGAGCAACAGGAGCCTTAGAACATTCCTTGGGTTTTGTGTGCTGTGCTCCAGGCCTGGGGGGCCGAGGACATCCTGGGCAGCACGGAGAGGGGAGAATGCAGTTGGGGCTCCCAGGGCCTCTGAGAAGAGGCTCCGGGCTGCTCACGGTTTTCCTGAATTACTGAAGGCTGGTTCTCAGCTTCTCTGCTCCTTCCCGCCACCTAGGATACGAGCTTGGAGCCACAAAAGCTTCTGGTGAAGTCTTGGACAATAACGATTGAAATAATTTTATACCAAGGGTAATTAAAAGTAACAGAAGTGGAAGGGAAAAGAAATCACTTCTGCTGGCAATAAAAATACCATTACATTTTAAAACAGGTATCATCCTACAATGATACGTAGCTTTCAAAAAAAGGGGGGCAGGGGGAGCAAGGCATGCTTTACCTCCGATCCTTAAGCTCAAACTGTACTTAGCTCAAACATGATATATGCTGATGGATGTTCTGTGTAGTCACCAATATTGGTCCCTGCCCTTTTCAATCTGTATGAGATACAACCACGTGAAACTGACATTTTTATAGTTTAAGAAGAGCCAAATATTGGCAATTTCATATGAGTCCACCTAACCTATACATTTTTTGGCATGCTGTCTGTGATTTGCTGTTCAGAGCAGGCAGGGGCTGCCTCCTGCGGTGACTTATGACTTACGGTGGAGCGGGCGAAGACAGGGTTCTCTGTGGCTTCCACGATCACTTGGTGGGAAGGGCCCCCGGTGCCCTGCTGGGTCTCGTAGTGCCGAAGCTCCTCACTGATGCCCGAAACCGTCGTCTGAGAACTGTACTCGGAGTCAGAGGAATCAGACCCGTTGTTCGTGTGACCAGGGGGCAGAGCAAACCGGACCACACTGGGGGGCGGCTCAGGGGAAGGGGTGGGCAGCCGGTTCAGCCCGTTGGCTGGAGACACCTATTTAAGGGGATTCAATATTACAGGTGTTATCAACCATTTACCTGGTGGCCACACTTAAGGTTCAAAGCACAATATTGTTCAGGGGTCGCTGCCCCTCCCCCCCCGCCCCCCCCCCCCCCCCCGGCCTCTCACGCTACCCTGTATTCACTTGGCCCAATCCCTGCCACTTTGAAGACCCTTGGGCCTGACAGCTGGAGCGAAAGAACTGCCCTCTGCTTTCACACTCTGGAAAGGCAGGCCGTGCCCTTTTTACTCCTGTTCAAGCCCAGATATTCTTCTTGAGTGGAAAGTGCTTCACTGATAGAACCTACAAGACTCAGGTTGCCAATCACTAGGTTTCAAAAATAAACCACCTAAACCAAATCAAACCATTCCCCCTACATCCCCTAAGACTATTAAACTGAAGAGAAAAAAAGCCATAGTTATTTGAGCTGTTTACTGAAGAAGTAAACAACCAGCAAATGTGGATATACTTAAATATCTAAATTAAGAGTGACACCAGGAGAAACAATATTCAGGTGGTCTGAGGGCTGCACGTTACACTGGCAACAATTACTGACCTCAGGATACGGTCCGAAGAAGGACAAAAGGACTGGCAGCAAAACCAGTCCATTGAGAACACCCAGGATTGTTAGGATTGCCAGGACAGCAAAGAAATACCTTGAAGATAAAAGGGAAGCAGGAACATTTACCATGGCAAAAGTAAATTAAGCTACCCTTCACGTGCCCAAACGTCAGAGCCAAAAATTAACAAAACCCACACCAGTGAAAAGGCTGGTACAACACTGCGTTTCAAATTCAGCACGAGATTAGTTTTTTTCTTTTCTTTTCTTTTCACCTTATGACTTTGAGAACTACATTCTACAACCCAAAGTGTTAGTTCATGAAGGGAAGAAAAAAAATTAGGTTTGTTAATTTGCTGAAATCTCATGGCATGTAATGTTATTTATGAATGTGTTACACAAACACAAAAATATGGAATGTGACCTGAATGGCCGAGCAGACTGAAAGCACAAATACAATGCAGAGGGGCCCCGTTCATGAAAACCCAGCAGAAGCAAACAAATGAAGTGAAGGGTGTAGAATTTAAACAATTTAGCCCAGGAGGAAAAGCAGCCCACTTCTGCAGGCAGCTAATCCACTGTGAAATGCTTCTGCATCTTAGAGCAGAATCTCTAATTAAGTCTCCAGCGTAGCAGGTAAGGCTTTCCCTGGGCTTTCATTAACCGCAACTTTCTGCCCAGAATTCTGTGAGTTCCAGTTTTACCAAATAGTTCCAATTGCAATCTTTTTAGAACACTGGAACCAGCTTTCGGCAAAGAAAACACTGCCCATTCTGTGGTTGCTGGGGCATTTTCGGGGGAGGGCGGTCCACAATGACGGGCTGCTCTGCCGGCCAATCTTTTGTTGAACAATTTAGCATCTCTGAATACTCTTGTTTTGCGTCAGCCAATTCAAACATAAAGGCCGCAGCACCATGAAGAAGAGGAGAGTGCACAAGTGGCCCTGCTTTCCCACCGTTGAGGGCTAAGGTCTGGGATCCTTCACGAATACCAAGGTGAACCTGTCAGCCAGGGAGAGTCGCTGGAGGATGTTGCACACAGCTGGAGGCAGCGGGCTCCACGCAAGCATGCGTTTCTGTAACTAACGGTTTCTAGGGCAATTCTGCTGGAAGTGGGCTGGGGTGGGGGAGAGCTCAGGATGTTCTGGGAAGAGGGAGGGCAAGATATCTATCTGTTAATGGTCCTCTTGATCATCAAACGGAACAGGCACCAAACTTTGCTGTGCCTATATATGTTTCAACGTTAGATGAAAGGAGAGAGAATCCCTATAAAAATACAAATACCTCGCAGCTATTGTAAACATTAGAAACTTCTGAGCTGCATTAGTAAAAACCAAGCAGCCGATGTCTTGCACTAATGTAAACTGCTTTAACTTTAGGCTGAGGCATATATCAGCAGCAGGCATTAAGACATTTGCATCCCATCCATCTAACTGCAGAATAAACAGACCAATTAGATTTCTGACAGCTTAGTGTATACAATGTCTGCTCATTTAGTCGACCTCAGTGAGGGCTTTATCAGGTTAATCCATCCAGTTCTAGAAAATGGGAAGCCCTTTTAAGTGCTTGAAACAAGAACCCTGATATCTCTGGGAGAGAACAAGACGCCATGGGTTAGATGAGAGAGCTGGGATCCTGCTCTCCACCGAGGTCCCAGATGGTTGTTCTAATTCAGGCTACGTTTCTTCTCTGTGGCTCCCTTGGCATCCCCCACAAGGCTGAGTTAGATCCTCTGAGATCCCATCACACTCTGTTTCCCATGGTTTTGAATTGCCTGTGACCTTGTCTCTCCCCCCATAGACCATAAACCATGTACAGGGGGACGGGGTCTACATTACTTGCAGTTGTGTGAAATGGCACTTATGAGGTGCTCACTACATTGTGTTGAATGAGACATTACACAAAGAAACTCTATTTGACATAGGGGTTTTACATCACAGAGAAACAACTACTAATGCCCGAATAAAGGAAAAGTCAAAATCAAATTAAGAGCTTAAAACAAAAGCCAGACCAAAACCTTCATCTAGTTTAGGCATATGTCTACCTGATATTGGCCAACAGGGTGTACTAATTGGGCTTGTTAAGTGATCAGTCATCTGTGCTGAGAGGATCAGCAACGTGGCCATCATCTGGGAGCTGGCTGGAAACGCAGACTCTGCTCCCCACCCCCAACGAAGTCTGATCTGCACTTACAGAGAGCCCCAGATGACTCACGAGCACGTTATAGCTTGAGAAGTACTGGTCTACACCTCTCCACTCATTCTCCACCCAAGCGACAGTGAGCCAACCCTGGCACTCATTCTAGCAAGGCTAAATCTCCATGATGCCGACCCGCCCAACGGGGTAACGTCACAGCCCAGTGGACTGATCTTTTCTCGTAATAGAGAAACGTTGGCTACAACTTAAAATCCTCTTCTTTTCACTTGGAATTGAAAGGCCCATCGCAACATACACATCAGAAAAGCCTGTTTAGATTCTCTCTCTAGATTATCGAAATGTCCCCAACGATCCAGTCATTTCTCACATTTCATTCTGCTTTACCATGGTCCTAATTCTGGACTATCTTTTACTTATTGATGATTCTGGCCTCGCCCCTCCACGGAGGAACGGGGTTACATCCAAGGGCAGCTTCGTCAAAAAGCTGCGGAGGCTGTTCAGAGAAGAAAATGGTCTTTCCCTGCAGTTCTCACATTCTTTTTAAAAGGAAAACTTGCTCTCCTTTTATACTTCACAAAGTCAAATCCTTAATTAAATTCACCAGAAACTGCTTGCCATGAAATCCAAATTGAAAGATGTATCCAACTAGGCTTGGATTTCAAAAATTTATTGGTGTTAAGTCACACGTTAAATGCTTCTTAAATCTTAGTGGCAACTCAAATGTGAAATCAAGGCATGTCATCTTTACTTCTTAAAAGAATAAAATCTATGTGAAAATTGTAGGCATCTGTACATTTTCCTTTCTACAGTTTTGGAGGAGAAGTAAAGGTCAAATTCAGTCAATTAATGGGAACCAGGTCATTTCTTTCTGTTGGTATTTCTAACCTCAATAGCAATAACTGGGATATCGGTTTCAAGTTGTAGAGTTGCCTTTGTTGCTAGCCCCAAACCCTCCATCTTTTCTCCCTAAGATATTCCCCAAGACAGCTCTAGAAGGGAGCTTGCTTTTATGCCTCTCAGGATACCTCTGAGTTAATAAACTCAAAAGAAAGTGGAGTCACAGATTGTGGCAATCACTTCACAATGTATGCATACATCAAACCACCATGTTGTACCCCCTTAAATATATACAATATTTATTTGTCAATTATACCTCAATAAAGCTGCGGGGTTAGGAGTGGGGAGTAGAGTCACAATGAAGACATGCTGCAATCTTCCAGAGACAGAAGGAAATAAGCAACAGAGATCACATTAGAAACTAACGCTTACCTGACAATGAAATCAAACTCGGATCCTGCAAGCATCAGCACTCCTAACAGAGTGGAAACGGCACCATCCAGAACAGGTGCAAACATGTGCTCCAGGGCGAGCATGGCCCTGCGGTTCTTATCGCCAATGGCTGTTAGAAAGGCCTGCGCAACGAGGAGAGTTCAGATGATCAGATTCCTGGACTTTACTTGGTCAGTGGCCAGCTTCGTCTTCAATGCTATCAGCCACTTTCACCTGCCTCCACTGAACCTCTCAGATCTTACCCTCTATCTACTGGCATGTTTAATTGGGGCTGCTCAACTAGCTAAATCTAGGCTTACACTAAATTGACCTGTTCGTGATAATGGGTTGTATTTGGTATTGATGTAAATCTTGAACATCAAGAAGAAAAGCGTATTTACTTTAAATTTAAAAACCGTGCCAAAACTATACAAATGAGCAAAATGTTCCCTTCTTTTCACCGTTACTCACGCTTGAGTTTACTCCCCACACTTAAATGATCTAGCATCATTCACATGGGAGACCTCCAGTTGTGAAAGCGACAGCATTTTGCCCGATTTTTTGAAAGGTCAAGATCTTACTTCCAAATGGGCTTAGCACCTGGGTGCTAAATACATATTTCCTCACTATTATGCTGAGGTTAGAAATTCTGTCACTGTGTTCCAACTAATGTGTTTGTAGTACATGTAAGTACCATGAAGGGATCACAAGAAAAACACAGGGCTGTAAATTCAATCAAGTCTGTTCTAAATATGTGTGGATATATCTCACCTCTTATGCATTCTCTAAAGCTCTTCTAGGTCAAGGATACTGTTGATACCAAATGGGAACTTTATGGAGATCTCGGTATATCAGACTATTGGCTTGAGAGTGTGACCCAGGACCATTTTAATGTGGGTTAGTTACTGTTACACCCTGCCTGTTCCCCCAGTGGGACCCAACAGGGAGGGCTGAGCCTGGCAGAAGCTTGCTCTCTGAAAGTTCAGGCTGCTCTAGGATGTGCTGAGAAGAGGGCTTGGGGCCCTTGCAGGTGCACTAGGGAAGGACAGGACGTTATTCTGCTTAATGGATGAAGAAATAAAATTACACAAAAGTATGCAAAGGTGCATTGTGAATTTTCATATTTTTCTCTGAAGTGGAGTCTATGTATGGATGCTCTTTCAGAGTTGGGAGATTTTAGGGTCAAAGTAGTTGTCTTTTTCTCCTGGGAGGAAAGCACCAGGATGGTTTGAAACCATGTCGCTCCGTGCTGTATCTGGGCCGTGAGGCCACAAGGGTCAAAGTTGGGTTGATCTTCTTGCATATAACTTATGCTACTGAAACAGTAAACTGCTAGGCGCCCATCGATTCCTTGACGACTTTCACATACAGGACACGGTAAGAACACCATGTCCTGTGTGTGGACAGTCTCTTGATGAAGACCTGGGCTAGCAGCACAAAGCCAAGCTGCCTCTTGAGACTCCTTCAATTCTCAGGAGTAAATCTTGCGTGAGGAGTAGAGGAGTTCCTTCACTGTTTATTCAGCACCGGTATGGATATTTATGTTCATACTACCTCAGAGATCCAAGGGGCCGCTACAGTTTAAAGACTGTCGTTAGCATTTCCACCGCAAAGATCTGTTCTAGGACCACCCTTGTGTGTAATGCTAGCTACCAAGAAGAGTGGTTTTCATTCACATCAGAATAAAATGATTTGTGGATTTTTAACTCGCAGGTAATTTTCCTCCTTTTTAAAAGAAATGATATCGTAATTATGTGTTCTCTAAGCTCTAGGCTCTTCTTTCTAAAAATCCCCTCTCCTTCTTCCCAGCTCAATTGAGGAAAGTAATTTGGGTAGGCTCAAAATGTAGAAAACTGTTTCTATATATTATCAGCTTTTTATTATACTTTGGGGGAAAAACAGGTTAACTGCAACAAAACATTCCTTCTGAAATATAAACATTTATAATCTCTACATAGCATAAATATGGCCCTGAAAGAAGACAACAGAAGGTAGAAGGCAGAAGCATCTGTCTAGACACGCATGTGTGTAGCTATGCATGTGCCATGTGTTAAGCCCAAAGAAAATCAATGCTAGAGACTGCAAAAGCAAGGCTTTTTGCAAGAGCAAAGGCTTTTACTCAATCAAAGTAACTTGATCCAAGTCATAATGCTTGGTTTCCTAGCTAAGCATTCCAAACATCAGTATTTATTCAGTCAGTAAGTATTTACTGAATGCCTACATAAACCCAAGGACGCAGACTATAAACACAAGTGTGTACGGAACATAATTTACACATCGCTATAGGGCTTTTGAATGATTCTCCGATAAATGTATACGATGGGTTTGTCTCTTGGGTTAGACTCCTCTTGAAGTTTACTTTTCTCCCACAAAGCATTCACAGGACTGTGCATAGAAAGAGCCGGGGGAGGGGGGGGATTCCTATTGAGAGCAACGCTAGTTCTCCTACTTTCTGCTGTCATGAATTTGGAAGCTGGGAGGTCGAAGGAGCTGGGTGGGCTCAGGTGGGAGAGTTAGTTCATCAGCCCCAGGGTACTTCCTCAGCTGCCAACTCACCTCACCCTCCACTATGCCATCCCCACCAAATCTGTGAGTGTGGTCTCATTTTATCCCTGCTTTATGACTGTGATTTTAAAAATTGTGTGTATTCATGCACACGTATACACCATCTGTCTTAGGAACAGCAGACAAGTTCAGGACCCGTGGTGACACAACTGACGACACCAAATGAGCAGAGTCCTTCCTGGCCCACTTGGACACACCAAAGACACTGCCTACTGCTGACGTGGCCTGGCTTTCACCTTTGACACCCTTTTCCTTAGATTTCCCCCAGAGGGAAAGGAGTCCGGCTGAACTTCAGGCACTCCCAGGGAATGTCTGTGCTCTGAAGCCTTTTTGTCGTGATGTGTGTCAGGTGTGTTCCTTGATGTTGGAGAAAATGAAAAGGTTCCCAACTTGGAAACTAAAAAGAGCTAGAGGAAACAGGTTGCCTTTTTAGTGAATAGCTTTCACTAAAAACGTCTCCCATACCAGAGCAACATGAACGGTGAACTCCACCCCGATGCCGACGGAAGCGATCAAGATGACCACAGGCACGGCACTCAGCTTGATTCCAATGAGGCCCATCATGCCAAAGAGCTCGACCGTCATCAAAGCCAAGACTGTCACCTTGAAAAAGACACACAGGATGAGTGGCTGGGCACAAACACACTCTTGGTGTTGCAAAAGTTTTTTCAAAACTATTCCCCGAGCGCAATCTATAAGGAATTATAGAAACACGCACTCACTGCTGGCTACAAATTTAATACAGTTTAAAACAAGGTGTTTCCTTCTGTTTTGATCTTAACCATCAGAGACCATCCTTCAACTTGTAACTGAGTTGCCACTAGAGTTTTTGGTTGCCTTGCCCTCCATCCTTAAGAAAGCTGATCGGACGGGGTGAATAAAAGTTCTTTTACGTAAAAGTAGCTTTGCTTTTGCTTGGAGAGTCCATGGACTGAGTCAGGATGACTTGGGAGAAAGGGGACGTGTGGTCAGCTGATGTGGGTCAGGTTACAGCCCCTTCACTTTGAAGAAATGTGGAGTTACTGGGGTGGACAAAGCAAACAGTCAAATCCAAGGAAAAGCTTTTATTTGCCTTTCTTTCATCTGCCTTGTAAAAATTTCTAGGGGGATGGAAAGAAAATCTGTGTGGCAGACTTTGGAGTTTTTTGGGCCAAAGAGGAGAAAATACAAATAAAACAATGAACTACACAGAGACAAAAGAAGGAGAGAACGATCTTTCCTTCTGGAGGTGGGGGTCAGCAGGCAGTGAAGGGGGGACAGACAAGTACAATAAAAGTTCCCTTTGCTTTCTTTTAATAAGCTAATGAAAGATGGATAACATCAATTGCTTAAGTACCATGAAAACTCCTATAGACTAAACATTTACCTTTAAACATACCTGTTGCACAGACTTATGGTGCAGAAACAAGACCTGTTCTCTGTTTTTATAATTCTGGCATTTTGAAGGCTATACCACAGTTCATGGAATTTAAATACTGCCATGATTTTATTAGACTCTACCCAAAACTTGTTTCAAAATCTGAGAGTATTGTACTTGGAGAAAGAATGCAAAAAACAGGTTGGTAATACTCGTTTATCAATTCTGCCCAAGAGTTAAAACAAACACACCACACAAAACCATCCCTAAAACCATTTAACCATATACCACCATCCTAATCTTCTCGAATTATCGCTCCATTTAGAAGAATCTTCTCTATATTTGGTCTGGGATGTAGTAACAAAATGACACTTGAATTGAAAAAACAGTTATGCTTTGAGTGCTTGTATTTAATAAATGCACAGCTCTATATTATGGAAAGTGTGCTCAAAAACTCCCCTATCTTTACACAAAAAGTTTAAAGGAGAGGGGACAGAAGATTAAGGCCATTAAAGGCTCTACCTAACCATGAACCTCACCACCTCCAGTAGAATAAATACAGTATGGATGATGCAATCTATACCCTCCTCCAGAGGCCCAGACATAAACAAAACTTCCCGGCTGCAGAAAGAGCTATGCTGAAAGGAATGTGACTTCCACAAGGACCCTTAGAATAAACTCACAATGATCCCGGCCGTCCAGGGGTTCAGGAGGAAGACAGCACACACGAGGAACGTGCAGGCCAGCACCACGCTGATGGACAGGAGGAGCCAGTGGCGGAGGCCGATGTACTGCTCCCAGAAGAGGAAGGGGTAGCCGTTGGGGTAGCTGGAGAGCCCCAGGCTTGTGTAGTTGTTGCAGATCGTTCTGACTTTTTCAATTGCTTCAACGAAGTCTGAGGTGTCACGCAAGCCGTTGAGGTAGAAAGGGAACTGAGCGTATTCGATGGGCTCTGCTGCTGGGACTGGAGAGAGAAAGGCAACAGGGAGAGGGCCCATGGATCAGGGGCTCCTGGCAATACCGAGAAAGGCAAACGGTCGCCATCCAAGGGTGGAAGAAATGCAACAAGCTCCCACCGTTAGCCATCCCAGACGTGCATCCCCGGATTCTCCACCATTGCAATGAGAAGAGAAAGAACTCGGCAAGAAAGTCCACTTACTGCACCTCTTTCAACATGAAGGACAAACGATACCAACGATGGTCTTCAGGTCTTTACAGTTTCAATCTTTGGTTTAAGAAATTTTAAACAATGATCAACCTTTGATTTTCGGGTGTGTGTGTGTGTGTGTGTGTGTGGAGGAGGAGCCTGTGATCTGTGTACTGATTTACCCTTAGATTTTAATCTTCTAGAAGCAGTCACTCTTTGTAATGGGTCTAAACAACTTAAGGATTCAATTGTGGGAACATTTTTTTTTGTTCAACGGACACAAGTGAAAATACGAAGTTCAAACTGTTTTACTCAATCACTTATGAGAACAAAATAACTCGAAAGTCATGCTTTACTGAGAAAAATGCTTGACTTTCTTATCCTTTTAGTGATCTAACGCACTTAAACCTTCCATGCTTCTTTTTTTAATGCAATGCTAAGTCTTCAGCAGCAGGGGAAGAAATCCTTACACAACAAGCATTTAGTTGCTGCCGTTGTGTGTTCCAGACCCTCTGGGGTCATTCAGTTGACTTGCTAAACATGATTTGCCCTATTATAATCTCAACTATAAATTTTCATTAAGACAAGCCTTGGCTGCTTGCCACAAGGCTCTGAGGTTTAGATACAGGGAAGCACAACCCGCCTGCTCTCCAGCCATGTTCGCAAAGGGACCTGTCTTCTTTCTCACGTCCTCCCTTGGCCTCGTACCCAAGGTATACGCTACTAATATCTCTAACACAAATGCAAATTAAATCCATCCAGAACCACCTTTCAAAGTCGGGGCTGAGAGGTGAAAGGAAGAGGACGCTGTTGTATACAGACTTTTCTGCTCCGGTTTAAACAGCTTTGACAGAGTACAGGTGCTTGGTGGCTTATAGGAATGACCCAACTTGCCAAAAATCCCTTCAACACCAGAGTTGACAAAGTTAAGATAAACATATAATCCCCAGCGATAAAACTCTGCAACAGTAACACAACACTCAACCTGGAGGCGTCCCCAACTTTCACATGGAACAGCTGGCATTAAAGAGAGAGGCCTGGTGGACGTTTTAGAGTCAAAGGCACGAAGGGAGATTACAGACTCTTATTTCTCAGTGTGATAGAGCATGAGTTGCATTTGATTACACATCCTCATCTGTCTCCCAGAGTTTTAAACTAAAAGAAATATATTGTTCTGTTTACACTGTTGAACCCTGCGTAGTGTCAACGGATGAGGGCCGCGACTGAGCCTGGAGGTATGGCGTGTAAGGAGCCCCATAAGCTTGCAGGCCCAATGGAAGGCTACTCACTTCTCAGCCTGGTTTCTGGCATGTAGTCGGCTTTGTCGTGGACCCACTCAGGACGGTGAGGCCGGATGTTGGCTTGGGAGGCGGCGTAAGCCACGGGGTCGTTGCTGACCCAAGCGGTCAGGTAGATGTAGAAAGCGTTGGGATTAATGATGCCGTCTGCATCCACCAGGCGCCGTTTAGTGAGCTGCAAAACGGGCAGAACAGAAGCCTTTCAGAGGGGTGCTTGGGGTAAACACACTCCTGCCTAGAGAGAATAGGAGCGGAGCTCTGCACCAGCCTTTGCAGCAAAGGAGAGAATGCCCACTGTTTGCAAGTACAGAAAATCCCATCAGAACACCTTTGCTTTCTTTCAAAATGCACTTATCAGAGGATGCGATAATCGGCATGTTTATAACACAAACACACACACACACACACACACACACACACACACACACACACACACAGTTCTGCAGACGGCCCAGGAATGGACTGAACCAATTAAATCTGAATGCTAAAAGACTGCTGCCAAGGCGGAGAATGAACGATCTGAAGAAACATATTTATAGGAGAGGAAGGGGGAAAAAAACCTGGCAAGAATCCCCATACACGTCTGTGTGCAGTTAACCTCTGCTGTTAACACTAAAGGAAATGCCACCCAGTAAATGGAGGAGAGCTATAAAAATAAAACAACATCTGTATAAATTTTGCTAACACTAGCCTCCTATGACCTGTGTATTCAAAAAATGCCCATCGCCAGAAAGTGGAAGGGACGGGTGCACAGCCTTGGTCTTTCTGGGAATCTTATTCTGAGAGAGGTGGTCACACATAGTACGCCACATCCTGTGAGGATGCCAACCAAATACTATGCTCCCTCTGAAGTGGGTCTGTGGGCCTTGCATAGGTGAAAAGCATCAGGTGACAGATATACATAGACACACACGTATGTATGCATATACTTTTTCCTGTTTACTTTAGATTGAGAAGCGGTTCCAATGCTTTCGGTCTTTTTTAACAAAATGAAAACGCCAATGACAGAAGTTAATAGAGAAAGAGTGAAGGAAGAAAGTGGAGGAGAGTGAGAGAACTAAATTTTAGGGATCTGGATTCAATTAATCCACAGGATACGTAACAACCGTACGTCTTCAAGCCGTCTCTGGAATTACATAGTACAGCTCACGGCCTCCGTGCACACAGCACGCCCTTCTCCCTCCCAGGCAGAGGAAATGATGTCCGGGGGCCTGGCCCCATCACATTTGTTCCACAGTGTCCCTGGTCCCTAAAACCCAACCCAGCCCCCCGGGCATCCCCGCTATCTCTCAGACAGACGCCTCTGCCCGCAGCCCTGTCAAACCAGACAGCATGCCCCATGTGGCCATAAAGCACCAAGTTCACACTCCATAATAACTCTGAACAATGTACTTTGTAAATCTGTCACCTTTAATGCCAGCAAAAAAGGGGAGACAATAAATAGAGCTGCTAGGAAGATCATTAGCATGACGGTTTTCTGCCTGAAGTCAGTAAGCAAGTAAGCTACTACAAGGGGAAGCCAGTAGTGGGGCTGGCCTCATCTGAAATCTGAAGGGTCCAAACGCCCTCCCCAGCATGCCCAAGGAATCAAAAGGGAGATGCCGGAATCCAAGTGTCACAGCCAAGAGGCAAACGCAGCTGGAGAATATGATTACCAGATAGAAACAGCTCTTCTTACTTAGGGGGTAAGCACAACAGTGAGTCCACTCAGATTCCAAGGATTTCCATCTGCCTCGCTGATGAGAGAGCAATCTGTCTGTCCTCCTCTGCCCCTTAGGCCACAGCGATGCAAAGGAATCAAACACAACAAATCTCCCTATCCTTCTATCCTTCCCTAACCCATCCATCCACGCCAAATTCCATTCTTTCAAATTCTGCTCCCCAATGGATCCCACCTTTCCAAGTTTGAATAAAACCAAGACTGACACGGTAACAAGCATAAGAATTCGAAAGAGAACAATGCAACACAGTATGTCTAACGTCTGAAAGAGTCTGCATTGCCTCAACTATACTTTCTTCTGACAATTGCTCTGAAGGTAAGTAACACACTTGTCCCCACTTGACAGATGAGCAAGGTGAGGCTCTCTGGGTTGCCTGCAGTCATCCGATCTGCTGGTGGAATGAAGAGAATTAGAGCCAACTCAATATTCATTCTTCCAGCCCCCGATGCCTCGGATCTGCAGAGAGCACAGGCTGGGATCGCATGCTGTCAAGCAGTCTTCAGTGGCAGTTGCCCCAAATCCCTTTTCAACGACGCTCTCCGAAGCTCCCATGGTGTAAGGCGGTGAGCGTACCTGGCTGATGTCGATGGGCTTATCACGGCTGCCGGTTTGCACCAGGAGTTTGTAGGCAAGGACCCCATCATCTGATCCATTTTTGTAATTGTTTGGCATGATTTTCCCAGTTTCCCAGTCACTGTCAAATGCATCCTGAAGTCCTAGAAAAGGCAAATGTGTGTAATACATTATAACTCTTATCCAGAATGATCCTGGCCCTAACAGGGTGCTCTGAGGACAGCGGAGCGTTTGCCATCAACCCCAAACACTCTGTATTCTAGTCGTATTTGACTTCATGTGACATTATTAGATTTTTCGTGAATGAACTTCAAGTTGCTGATAATCACCGCCTCAAAGGCAGAAGGGGAGAGTATTCACTTCTAGGAAACAAATACACGTTTTACCTCAAAAAGCCCCCCTAACTCCCCTTCTTCTCCCCCATGACAAAAGAAAGCAAGAGGGCTGGGTGAGAAAGACACGCCAGGCCCATTCAGTGTTTCGTGCCACGTCAGGTACTAAGCCATGGGTTCTTCGATACAACCAGAAATTCCACTCAGAGCAGGAAAAACACATTCAAACTCCTGACTTCAAACAGCAACTCAGTTGCTTCTCCAGCCCTGGGTGAGTGAACATGATTCTGTCAATTTGTTCCATCTGTTCGACTTGTGGAGCTAATACAAGCTGTGGGATCGGCTGCCAGGTTGTGTAAAGATCACAGCCGACACCGATTCACTCTGGACTGTTCTCTTCCTCTCTGCCACCCTTCCTCCAAGAGGGGCTGTGGAGGAGAGAGGAGGAGGGATCTTGTGTGCATGTGTGTGCAGGGAAATACCTCACAGGGTAAATTTGGATCATACTGAGAACAGGAAGCCACAGGCCAATAGAAGGGGGCTCTGTGAGAACAGATGACAAACCGCAAGGCCAAGGAGGGGAAGCTTTCTGGGCTTGGGGGATGGGCGCGCCCACCAGCCCACCACACACAGCTGCGCTTGGCTTCTGTAATCAAAACCATCATTACAGACCTGACGGTTTGGCTACAGCTGTAAAGAGATAAGCGTGTTGGAAGAGAAAACAGGGCCCTGGTGACCCGGCCCTCGGGTCTGAGCAATTGCTGGCTTGCACACACTCTCCTCTGACACCGCCCCCCCTCTTCCGTCGCCCTGCTCCCCCAAACCACCTCCCACGTTGAGCTCCCAAGCCCCAGCAGCCCAGGAAGCCACATCTTCTGAACAAGCTGCACGTGCACGGGTTAGACGTGGCCAGTAAGGAGGGAGGAGGGTTTGTTTCATTTCACGACACGCCCCCGTTCCCCGCAACACACAGAACTGGTTCCGTTCGTGCTTAAAATGGTTAAACTCTTGGGGTTTGAAGTTGGGGGGAGAAGGGAACACAGGACTCTCTCTCTCTCTCTCTCTCTTGTTCTCTCTCTCTGTCCCAACTAAACCTTCCTTCCGACATTGCTGTGGGCGTTGTTTTCACAGGAACAATTTGGGGATGAGGGCTTCGGGCTCGGTGGTGAAAGGCAGCCCTGTTCGGGGAACGTGGAGTGGCCGCGGGGCCGGGCGGGGAGACCACCGGGATGGCTGCGCTCCCCTCTCACACAGACTGTTTTTCATAGCGAGGCATGCATACAACCATCAGTACTGAACAGACGTTATTTTATTACCTAAAGCCTTTTTTTTTCCTGTTTTTGAAAAAAATAAACAGGAGAGAAAAAAACAACCCCTACCAGAAAAGAGGCCTGTTTTCTTTTCCTCACCATAATAGAATTTCCATCACTTTGTGGCCTGTATGGCACTTTAACCCTTTCCTCTTGACCTGCCACCCTGAGGAGCAGAGCTCACGCTTACTGTGAGTGTGGGGCTGTCTAAGCAGTTTACATTGATTACCCCTCGTTTAATTCTTAAAACGACCTCATGAGATAACCTACTAGTATGATGGTTCCCACTTTACAGATGAGGCTTGGGAACGTGAAGTAACTTGAGGAAAGTCATCCAGCAGGTAAGTGCTGGAGCTAAGCTTTGAACCCAGGCAGGCTCTTCCAGAGTCAGCTGGAACCACGAATGCTCTAAATCGCCCTGAATGCACTATGGTGCCCAGGAAACAAAACATCTGTTGATAGCAGAGTTAACGTGGGCACCAATGACATCTGGTGGCAAATAGGGGGCCCCAAAAATCTGAGTGCGGTTTTAAGATATTTATACTCTACGACTCTGGGGACACCCTAGAGTGAAACAAGGAAAGAAAGATCTGATTTGGGGAAGTCAACCCTGTTGGCAATTCCACTCAACTCATCACCTACGCTGCTGGCCCCCTACTCGCCATTCACTCTGCTGGGGGCTTCACGATGAATGAGAAATAATCACTGACTTCACAGAAAAGTTAAGTTCTTTCATAATTAGTGTATTATTTTCTGATTAATTATCAAAAGGCTCAAGTAACAATGGTTTGGCCTAAGTGCACGCACACTATACAGTCTTGACACAAAACAAGGAACAAAGATTTGCTTCTTCCCTTGGCCAAATATTTCACATTCCAACACATGCATACTGTAGGAAAGAACTGTGACGTTTCACTTATTTTATGGCAAAACATGAAAGTTTTAGCTAGAACTTTTTCATTTAAAATATTTTATACTAGAAATTATTTTCTAGTGTGAAGTTCTGAGTTAATTATCTCAACTGCCAATTTTTCTTTGATACAGGACGCTAAAAAGAAAATGCTAATCTAAATTTTATTTGCATATATCAGTGTGAAATATAAACAAATACCATGTGTACAGTGTGGTTTTTATCTCCAAGGTCGCCTTATTTGCATGTATGCTTAAAGGTGACATTTGAGATGATTTCTGTATTACCATTATACATTTTTATGAGTAAATCCCTCCCCCCCCCAAACTACTGGAATGTTGCTAAAGACCAATGGGATGACGTGGTCTGTAATGGTCAATTCCATTAAAAACTAATGAGGGTCCCATCACTTAGCAACCACACAAAGTGCTTTGAAGGAAAGCTGACTCAAGGATAACTACTTCCTAAGAGGAAATGTTCAAAGACCAAATCAGCCACTCAACAGGCCTGAAAAATGTCTAGGCAGCCGGTGGTCCCAGGATCTGGCCATCCCGTGTGCACTGCTCTGCCGGACCTTGGTAGAGTCAGAGGCAGAGGCCTAGGGCTGGCTGGGATGCCGACCAGTGGGCATGAATGGATCTTACTTGGTCTAGGTGGGTGCTGTTCACTTAGCAATCAAAACATGATTCAAATGCACCTTTTAAAAAGATTCCCAAGTCCAACTGCTTTAGGTCTTCAAAGGGATGAAAGCATGGGGATAATTTACAATAGGCTATAAAAAAGGTTAGCCCTCTGCACTGCCTGGAGACAATGCCCCTCTACCCTCTTCCAAAGCTCCGCCTAACATGCCATATTGAACATTCAAAGGAATGGCCGAAGACACTGAAATCAATTCCACGATAACCCTTCTTTGCTCAGATACTGGCAGTGCTCTGCAGATCTCTTTGTTATTTGTGGCAAGTTATTTGCATGTCTTTGGCCAAAGGGGGAAAAATGAAAAGCAGGGAATCTCTCAACTTTCTAGTCTTCTTTTGATTCATCATCTGAAAAAAAAAAAACAAAAAAAAAACCACTGCTTCCCAAACTACTGTAAAAAATAAGACTGGGAACAAATTCAAGTTAATCTCACGAGCATGTTAAAAAATAATGTTAATGTTATGTAGTTCTCTTCGCCTTCCTCAGAAAAAGAGGTCAAATCTGGTAATACATGCACGAACAAAATTCTAGGAACACGAGTCAAAGACAGAAACCGTACTGAAGAATTTTCAATCAAATTCAAGTTGTTTACCATTTCATGCAAACTCACAGGGAAATTGGCTGCTTAATCTTTACATACAAGTGTATTGACTTAAGACCAAAAAAGGCACTTAAATCTGTGTTTAAACAAGCCTAATTAAGTGGGAAATTAAGACAATCATTTGGATAACTTAAGCCAAAAAATGTTGGGGCCATAATTATTTGGGTATTTCAGTAAGAGTATTTTTGCTTGAATTGTGTAGATAATTATCTTGATTCTCCACTTTACTTTGCATGTGTCAACACAGAATAAATGAACAGATGTTCTTAGAATCACTGAATACATCCATATTCAGTCAGCAGTTAGGAGCAAGTTTAGGCCGTCTTTCTCTCCAGTCGACTACTATTTCCTAGAAATGTTTCGAAGGGCAAGGTCAGAAGCTGAGAAGGCATTTTAAAGCAGAAATTGATTATTTATGATATACTATGAGATGTGATCAAGCAATTGAGCTTACTCCATATGTTAAGTCAAAAGATGGTCAAAATACGGAATTTTAAATTATATTCACCAATGATGCAAAACTACTGACGTAGTAAGTTACAATTTGGCAGTGAGTCAGCCTAGAAATTCCATTAACACTTGGATTTCACTTGGTCACCAAACTAGCCACCATTAAAAAAAAAAAAAAAAAAAGAGTACTAGAAGCATCCAGCTCCGTATTTTATAACCTACTTTCCCATTTCCTGCTTTAAAATGCCTTTCTCAGCTTCTCACCTTGCTCTTAGAAACATTTCTAGGAAGTAGTAGTCGACTGGAGAGAAAGACGGCCTAAAGTTGCCCCTAACTGCTGACTGAATATGGACGTATTCAGTGATTCTAAGAACATCTGTTCATTTATCCTGTGTACTCATAAATTCTTACAGAAGTTCCTGAATCAGCCATTTGAACTGTTTGCATCGTTTTATAGGTAAAAACCAGATTTGGGAGCTGCCCCAGAAAGAGTCTATATAAGAATTTTCAGCAACAATGAGAAATCAATGAAACATGTCAGTGTTACATTATAATCTAACACTTTAATCAAGTGAACAAAGGGAACTTGTAGAAGCTGAACACACCAAAGACCACATGGTGAATGTTTACAAAGGACAAGGGCCCTCCAGCAGCATCTTACCTTGGAGCCAGTCTCTGAAGTAGTGCAGCCACATTTTGGGAAGCTGTTTATTTTCTTCCAACATGACATACTTCACATTACTGAAACTCTTATGAAGGTCGTAAAGTAAGTGCTGGATATTGGGGTAGTCTGCCTTCTGAGTGACTATATACATGTTGTAGAAAGAGAAGTATTTGAACTGTGCAGCAATAAAGTCATATTCTCTAGTTTCCCGAGGCACAATGTCTGTAAGGTCCAGCCCATCACGCACTCGGGTGGTCCCATAAAGGCTGACCCCCAGCAGGCCCAGGAAAAGGAAGATCACCACGACCTGCAACAGAATAAGGGGCCCGAGATCAGACCCGGAGGAACATAACCGACTCTCCCTTGACAAAGATGAGCTGTTTGGTTTATACCTCACTCTTACCATCACACTATCCGGATGTACAGTGTAGGGGTCGTTTTCCCAGAGGAAAAAACATAAAATCATGGTAATTTTGCTTTTTTTTTTTGGCGGTACACAGGCCTCTCACTGCTGTGGCCTCTCCCGTCGCGGAGCACAGGCTCCGGACGCGCAGGCCCAGCGGCCATGGCTCACGGGCCCAGCCGCTGCGCGGCACATGGGATCTTCCCGGACTGGGGCAAGAACCCGTGTCCCCTGCATCGGTAGGCGGACTCTCAACCACTGCGCCACCAGGGAAGCCCGGTAATCGCATTTTTTTAAACAAGCTCATTTAGAATAAAATCTTTAAAATGCAAGGAGTTGCTGTAAATGGAAAGAAACATTTGCCACATAGAGATGCACTCCTGTAGAAGATGAGCTCATTAAAATGGCCTCGAGCTCTAAATGGACTGACTCGTTAGGAGGCCTGAAATATGTCACATCTGAGGAAGCAATCTGATGAATTCCAAAGGCGCCTGCTCTGTTATTTTTTGCAGACAGTAGGGGTCTTCTGTTTTGGTAATTACCTTGGCTTTTGGTTTCAAGAGGAAAGGGGCATAGTGCTTCTCGGCAAAAGATGAGAGTGTCCACCTGCTGCAGGGGGGCTCAAGGCAGTGGAGGCTAGAGTCAGAGAACTGGGAGAGCAGGTCCCTCGTGGAGCTGGTGCTCTCGGGGCTCTGGCAGCTGAGCGTGTCCTGGGCCACGGTGACGGGCTGCACGGAGATCTCGGAGCGCGGCTCGGCAGTGGTGTAGTACACGTGCGTGTGTGGGTCGTACTCTGTGCGCAGCTGCACCGTGGATTGCATGGTGATCTGGGTTTCGTGGGCGAAGCTGTGGCTGCTGTAGGGGGGCGGGGGGCTGTAGCGGGTGTTATTGTGAGTCTCTGTGTAGGCCTGGGGTTCAACCTGAATCACTCTGCTGACACAGGGGCTGAAAGAGGGGGAAATATGTTGGAATGGTATACCGAAACAGGGAAACGGTGCTTTCATTTCTGCCAATGACTGACATTATTCACTTTACACAGCTCTGATTTAGGAGCAAAACATAGCACTGAACTCCACAAACACCATCCGGTTTACCTATTCGGACACAGACGTGAGTCAATCAAAGGAGGCCAAATGGATGGTTGATCCTGAATTTGGCTGACAGAAATCAAGTGAAATGCTGACGAACCTCTTAATGCATAATTCCTTTAAAAAAAAAAACCCAAAACCAAACCACCCAAAGGGTGATATGTTTTCCAGATGGTGGTTTTCAACCTTCGTTCTGCCCTAATCCATAGAGATACAACGCATTCCCAACAATCAGCAGTACGGGTGTGTGGTAAACAATGACCATGTGTATCACAGCCTCGGGGCTGTAAGAATGTTCAGTTGAGGGAGGCGAGAACCCCAGTGACTCCGATGTCCCCCAGAGGAAGCATCCTCTGTCCATTATCTCCCCTGCGTTCAGCACACTGTTAACTACGCTTCCTTCTAAGTTCACAGACTGAAAATTTCCTTAAACATTACCACTCTGCTCCCAATAAATAAAGGCCACAGGGGCCAGAAAATGTACCTTGTAAAACAGCAGAAAATATCCAATCTCCTGTCCTCACGTCGATACAAATCCATGCTGAGAATTGCAGGAAAAATCAGCAGAACCATAGCAAAATTGAATACCACTACTACAGCCGCCTGGGAGAAAAAAAAAATGTAGAGGTCACTAATACATTTCCTCCCAGTCAGAGGACTGCTTTGAAAATAAAGATGCTTTAAACAAAATCTTTCTTTCACTTTCCTAACTGAGGTGTTTAAGCCTGAAATAGATGCTGGAGTTTCTCATCACTTTGCTTCTCGTCCTTCATTAAGAGACCATTTGACTAGAATAGAGGCCCCCATCATTCCTTTCCATCTCTAATAATTCCATGAGCCCATAGGGTACAAACACAGGAACTAAACTAAACCAAACTGACAAAAGCAGAACAGAGAATATGCTTGAAATGTTTTACTTTAAGATAAAAAGAAACATTTTCCTCTTAGAACATTTCTAAGAGTTCACGTAGCCCTGATTTTACACTTAGAAAATTTATATATAAAGTGGATCGAGTATATCCAAATGTCACCTTTAAAACACAAAATAAAAATTCAAACACCTCCCCCGAGGTTTTTAATAGGCACATTCCAAATAGCCTCTGGAGTAGCCTGTGGGGTGTGCGAGCGCAGTAACATAAAAGGTCAAGGAGAGTTAAGCAGAAATTCCTGTGTGTGATTCTAGTATGCAGAATAAATAAGTACGGATTCAAAAGTCACTCCATAACCTAGAATAAACACAGGGCTAGATTCTGTAGTGCTTTGGCAAATCTCCTGCTGACCTAGTAAAAATTACACAATTGGGCTGTTAATAGGGGAAAGTCAACAGAGGACAGTTGAAAGGGCTCTCCCGTACAGAAAGGCATGGAAAGCAGCAGCATGATGAAAAATGCAACTGGAGTGCTAAGTAACCAAGAAATCATCAGAAAGTTTTTTTTGAAAAATAAAAACTCTTACAAGGTTTTTCAAAGAACTGCTTAGTTCTAAAACCTTCTCAAACTGGGTAAACGTTTCAGGGTGAGAAAAGAAAACCCGATTACAACTGGTACCGAACAATACCAGGGGAGAACCTTGCAAAGGTCTCTGGATAGTAACTTGTGAATTTATGCTTGAGGTGAAATAGCAAGCCCAAGTTCTGGAGAGATGCTTTTTTCGATAATTAATTCCCTGTCAAGTCTACAAAACCAAAAAATAACCACGAGTCTCCTAAAAATGACCCAACCCCTCTCTTCTTCGTCTGCCTTGAAAATTCCTCATCAATTCAAAATATATGAAACATGTTAACTGGCCACTCTAATGTATATAACGTAACTTTAAAGACCTGCTTAACATGTTATAAGCAAATCACTATTTCGACTAGAGGATTTATCTAAGAGGCAAATAGAAAAAAGAAAAGTCTGGGCAGCGTATTGGGTACGGAAGACACAAAGATAAATAAGACAAAATCCTGCTCTCAAGGAAAGACACAGCCAGAACTATAAACAAATTACAAGCTAGGCTGACAAATGTAGTAATAGAAGCATGCCAGGGTTCCAGAGTGGCTCAGAGGAGGGGAGCATGCAGGTGGGGGTACACGGGGGGTGGGGAGAGTGGCCAGAAAAGGTTTCTTGGGAGATGGAGAAGACAAAAAAGGATTTGGGGAGGACCAGGGAGGAAGGATGCATGGAGGAAATCCGATAGGCCGTGTCTGAGTTTAAAAGCTATGCAGTACTGCTGGGTTTAAAATTCTGTTGAGGGAAGAGAAAGGAGGAGGAGTGATGGGAGGTCAGGTAGTTAAGTTACACACGATCCGTTCGATTCTTACAGCAACCAGGAGGCAGACATTAGTCCTGCTGTCGACCCTTTACCTAATAAAGACCCGTGGTGCAGAGGAAGGTCACCTGCCTGAGGCTCCCAGTAAATTGGATTCAAACACAGGCTTGATGCCTAAGCCCCCAGCCCAGCTGGGACCTGGGAGTTCTCGTTAGATCTGATCACCTCCTGAAGGGACAGACACGGGGGCAGGGTTAGGGTTCCTGACCAATCAGAACATAGGGGAGAATGCGTCTGATCCTCAAGGGTTTTCCAGGAAAACTTAATCTTGGGGGGGGGTGGAATCCTGTCAGCTTTTCTTTTTATTACGGTCATGCTTAGAATTCAGGAGTGTAATTGCAGACAAGAAACTCTGGGCATCTCATTTTGAACAGAAGTTCCTGGGGATGAGGACAGAGACTGTGAAAAGATAAGCCATGCAGGTGTATACAGGTGTCCCAGACGCTGTGGCCAAAACAACACTGATGCTTTCCGCCATGGCTGGGGAATGTATCTGATACCAGCCTCATCCATCAGAGAAATTTGATGGGCATCTTGCTTGGTCTCTTTGTGGTGGAAATGGAGAAATGAAAGAAGAAACCCAAGGTAGCTTCCCATCTAAACTTACTGTCCAACAGCTTATTACATATACAGGTAGGACATTTACTGATGAGAAAGTTGTAGATCTTCAACATCCTCTAAAGTGCACTGAAATAATAGAAACAAACGGCAAGGATTTCTCAGTAAGAGAGAAGTGTCACTGCTAGAGCAAAGAGCACTTTAAGAAATTTCAAGTAAATGTGAAAAGATGATGGGGATGATCCTGCACCGTCAATCAATTCTAATTGCTGTGCTTTAAGGAAATGTCCCATTCCCCTGCAAAGCATCTATGGGTGGCCCCACTGAGACACTTGCAGAGCAGAGAGGAACTGGCCCTGCCTAGAGGGGCCCTCGTCTAAACCCTCTTACCATTTGGAACAATAAGGCATTCTGTTCTGGGACTTTTCATTGAAGAACAAATACCATTCAGTTACCAGCAAAGCCCCAGTGTAGGGCATTCGTTTTCAAAGAATTATAAACAGTGCCACTGCTTTCTGGTATAGAGGTGGCATTTGGACAGATGGATAAAGATTGACAAGGAGGTTTCTTTGGGAAAGAAATTCTATTTATTTTGGCAAGGTTACAAAATTGGAAAGGCTCCACAAGGAAAAATTTTAACGTGGGTTTATTACTGGACAGAACCATTTTGGATATGTCCTTCTGATGCTTAATCTAGAGTATCCTGAAAATACAAATACAAACGAATACCCAAAGTTACAATTTAACACAGTTACTAACGTAAGAGAAACTATATAATGGTCAATTTCAAACGTCAATACATTTTAAAGGGAACCAAGTGTAAAATTTCTGATGGCTACTGCAAAACTCATGGCATGCTCTTTTTTCTTAAATTTTCTATTCTTCTTTTTTACTTTTTGTTTTTGTTTACTGAGAATGAACCAGTATCACAGGAAGCCATTCTCTAGCAAATGAGAACTTCTAGAAGCTGTAGACGCAATTTCTAAAGTGATACTCCAGTGCCTTGGAATAGAAATGCAAAACCAACAGTATTCATTTCATCTCAGTAAGGTGCTTACCTTGGGAGAACTTAGCGTACTGGATTTTCTAAAAGGCGTAAGGAAAACTCATGTAGCTTTTCAGACCACCACACCATAGGATATCATTAAAGGACAGTATGCCTTGATGAATTATCAGTTTGTACTGACACAGGAGAGGAGAAAATGAGAGAGAGAGACAAGAAGAAAAGAAGGAGCGTGAGGTAAAGCAGATAAAGAACAGCGAGGGAAAAGGCAGGCAGAGAAGGACAGAGGCAGGAGGGAGGGTCCCACTGTTAAAAGACTCTAGAACAGTTTCTCAGTACCAGAATCTGCTGTATACGAGACACGAGCAGGCTATCAAAGGGTGCTGCACACGTGCATGGCTGTGCAAAAGGCATCCTAAAACTTCAGTTGTACCAATAAATTAGTGGGCATCTTTTATTTACCTTCCGTATTACTGAGCACTTAGATATATTTTCATTTTCTTTGAACTTTGGTCCCACTTTCAGATTTAATGTATTCATTTATTCACTCACTACTTCTATTTCTATTTTCTATATGTTTATAATAAAATAAGCTTTTCTTAGTATTTTTCTTTTGGGGGGGCCTGGTGGTCATAGTGATGGGTACAAAACCTTACACCAAAGAGTAAACAAGTCTAGTGTCCCAAATGCAGTAAGATCACTAGTTGCTTAGGCCTTCATCGGTAATTAGTGAAATAAGATTCACATCTGAAGGCTAGAAAAGAGCTGAGTGTGTTGACAAAAATATAAATAGAAACGTAATCTATGATTTGTCAATTTCTCTTCCTGGTTACAATCCTTAGAACCTTTTGGTGATTAAAAGGAGTAAAGCAGTATGAATAAGCTGGATGGATGTAACAACAGTTTAAAAAGCGACATCAAAAATAGTTCCCTTTAAAAACCTGGCCATCTCATGAATTACTATCGCACTGTAAGAGAGGAGGAAGAGGGAAAGCCACTGCTCCTTTAATCTTTCTTGGAAACCAGTTGGAGCTTTAAAATTTGAATTTCATTCACAAAACCTCAGTAATATCCTTGAGAAATCAAAACCCTAAACCACTTCAGGCTTAGGAAGGCCACGCCACAAACTGGGCAAGTAGCCTCTTTTATCTGCCGCGTTGACCAATTTCAGGATTTCCCACGAGTTTCAAGCAGCTGAAGAGCAATGCCAGTACTTTACACCAAGCACAGAACTGACCATAGCTGCATCCCCAGTCGCGGGAACTCTCCATTCTTACAATTCATGTTAGCTGGCTCTTTGGAAACATATCTCAGAGGCCTCTAGATGTGAAAGGGCCTGGTTTGGAAGGAAAGAACAGAACAATGATGGACCAAATTGCTCTGCGCAAGAAAGGGAGAGGAATTCTGTGTTTTCTTGGGTAGCCTCAGAGTCCGGTAGGGAACCAAAAGGAAGGAGAAGAGGGGCCAGGAAGAACAAGGAAGGAGAGGTGGCAAGTAAGGGCTGGCTAATCCCTCCTCACACAGTGAGGAATCTAACGCTCAATTTTAAGGTATGGCCTGGCCTGGGCTACACTGCAACCTCATCCTCGTATCCGTGAAGTCTGCTCTGTGCAGCGGCTTTGTGTTGGGGGCTGCTTTAGGGAAATCAAGAGATGGTAGCCAGCAGGGGAAGGGGGTGAGCACAGAAACTGAGAGTGGAGTTTAGAAGCAGGGACGAACAAGAGCTGGGTGCACCAGGGCCCAATCCAGAGGACTCCTGATTATCTGGAGTACGGGCTTATAGGCGTCCCACACGGAGTGGCCCTGGGCCATGAGGATACCCAGGCCTCAGGCTTCTGAGCTATAGGGCTTCAAAGGAAAGAAAGAACCCTAGAACTTTCTTTCAGAGGGAGCGTCAAGGTTATTGCTTAAAGAAGCATCCACCCAGAAGAAAGAGACCCCAAAGCTGGCATGCTGCTTTACTTCATGGTGGTAGTACTGTAAACACATCACTGGAGAAAAGTAGACCTGGAAGGCTCACTGCTGAGCGCAGCGCTCACAGATTCCCCCCCGGATCTAGTTACTGGAAACTCACCTGCAGGGAGAACGCCCGCAGAGCGGGAATCGGGATCAACGCAGCCATAAAGAAGGCTGTGACGTTGCTGATGGATGTGAGGGCCACGCTGGCTCCCGTGCGCTTGAGACACTCCCCGGTCCTGTCCTAAGGATGAGAAACCACAGTGCTGAGAGCTGCACAGGGCGGAGCCCCTCAGACCACAGACTGTGTGAACAATTCAAATACGTGGCAAAATCAGACAACTGGTAGTTTACAATGCTGACGTGAGGGGATAAGAAAGGGATATCTCTGCCTTTCCCTCTAACACCAACACTGAAATTCAAGTTTTCAGTGCTATCTACACAGTCATGTGTTGTTCATGGTTATTACTACCCAAAGCACAAAGCTGCAAGATAATGACTTAAGTACATTTTTAATATGGTTAAAAAGGGGCAAGGAGAAATGCGAACAAAGTAACCAAAAAACCCAAAGAAACAAACGTGCGCTTTGGAACAAGTCTCCTGAGATGCTTTTAACTTACTTTACTTATTTAGAGTCAGTCACGTGTCCATCTGACTTGGGACTGAAATATTTACTGGGCCAGATTGAGAAAAGTGGAAGGACAAACACTCAGAAACAGAGAGGGGCTTCTGCTGTCCTCAAAGGTTTCTTCTTTTGTTTTTCTATTACCTCAAAAGGGATCCTTTTATTCTGTCCTGTTTCACTAAATGCATGCGCCAGAAGGAAGACGTCATCCACACCAACGCCAAGAGCAAGAAATGGCAAAACCTGTAGTGAAGACACAGCACAGTGACATTAGACACGTGAGGTCCAGTTCTGAGAATTCTACAAAGCCATTTAAAACACTGCCACCAGCACCCCAAGGAGCTTACCCAAAGGACGGCTTACATGAACTCATGTGAAGAATTTAGTTTTATCTCATAGTCAGACCCCAAAGTCTAGCAGTTGTGGCTCACAGTAGATCTTGTCCATTACTATTTCTAAGCTCCACGTACAACAATTTTTTTAAGTTAACAAATGAGAAGGAATTATACTCCAATAAAGATGTTAAAAAAAAAAAGTGAGAAGGAATCTAACTCATTTAAAGCAGTGGTTCTCAGAGCGTGATGTCTAGACCAGCAGTGTTGGGAGCTGGCTAGAAATACAAATTCTCCACCCTCACCCCAGATGGACTGCATTAGAAACTCTGGGGATGGGGCCCAGCAATCAGTTTTCACAAGCCCGCCAGGTGATGCTAATGCATACTCAAGGTTAAGAACCACTACTCGAATAAATGATCTAAATTCCACTGATAAATGAAGCATCATCTCTAACTAATCAACAAGCCCATTCAGACCTGCCACTGTCAAGTGGTCCATTTAGAGACAGCACCCCCCTGAGAAATGGGGCATCTTAGCGGAAAAGGCTGGAAGACCCTTTAGGTGACATGGACACACTGGAGGCCAACTGGGCAAGCCCGGAGAGGGGTGTTTGTCAATGAACAGCAGACGGATGGCTCCTTTAGTACCTGAGTTGTTGCAGCATTAAAGGAAATCCCGATCAATGAGCACAGGCCCAATCCTGCAGCCACTGACAGTGCAACCAACAGGACACCAGCCAGCCCCACGGCACCCTGGGACTTGGAGCAGTCCCAGCGCAGCATGGTTAAACAGGCATAGGCAAGCTACAAGCAGAACAGTTGGGCAGGGTGGTGGGGAGGTGAAGGAATGAAGGGGAGTTGGAGGAGGGGGGGAGAGGAGGAAGGGGGAGACACAAAACAAAAGCCAAACATTAGAATGTGTAAAGATTCTAATGTTTTCCCCCACCCATCACCCCAAATCAAAAGGTAGAACTTATTAAATCGAACAACAACGAAAATTTACATTACAGACATCATACGAAATGATACGAGTCAAAGATGGGCAAACTGCAAATGGTAATAAATGCTTTACACGACCACTTTTTAAACCGTTACGAAGCCGAGCTCTCTCTGTCTTGGATGCAAGTGTGTGTTAAGAGCAGTTAAAAAGCAGGGGCAGTCATGGAAAGGTAAAAACTAAAAAACAAAACAAAAACGCCCCCTGGGAGAACTGAATTGATTGTTACCATCAGTAAATAGCCACTGGCCACTCGGATGACGCTGACGTCAGAGAAGGACTTGAGGATGTCGTCCAGGGTCGTCGTGGTAAAGGAAAGCACCTTCTGAGTGGAGTTCTGAGCGACGCTTTGATGAACTACCTGCGGTCACAACGCAAGGATAAATTCCCAGATGGGATTAAAGCTACGGTGAGCTTCAAGAGCACAGACCTCTCAGCTGACATGTCCCCTTTAGCCAACCCCCACTTTTGTCTGATGCCTTGAAAAGAGCTCTACATGATTGGGGTTTGAACTTGGACTAACGTTGAAGGACCTGAGCCTGGGACAATGAAGGCTATTGCTAATCAAATGAGAATGTGGTGCTGTGGTGAGCCGGTGAGCCTGTGTAATTGAAGTTTTCTCCGACAGCCTTATTTATGCTATGTCTAAGACTACTATTCTCCTCTCCATAACTCTACAACTGATTTGCGGGCCCATCAGTTCCCCCCTAATCCAAAACAACTCATTCTTAGGGGCACTCCTCCCCCTCTTCATTCGCTGGCCACTTTTAAAAGGTCACATGCAGCTCAGTAGAGGTCACTGCTTGGGAAACAAAGGCCAGCTCCTGTCACATGACCTAACCAAGGGGATTGCAGCTGTGAACAGATTCTATGCCTTGCTAATGTTTTCCAGACACCTTTTCTTGCTAACCAAGTGTTTTTTTCAAACACGGTTATGCCTTAGCTCTGGGGTTCACAATTGGTTACTCAAAATGTTTCAGGGCATCACAATTAGAATTAGCATCACCCAGATAGTGAGATTTTCAATATAAAGAGAAGGAAAAAGTTTTCATCCTCCCAAGTTCCCAGCATTACAATCAGTTTTGAAAATAAATTCTAATGAAAACAATGCTTTAAAACGTTAAAATGAAGTATTTAGTAACTAAGGGGTTTGTACTCAGGTTCAAAGGGCGTCAGAAGGCCACCCATTTACCTCCACATACGTCCTCTGCCAAGCCTCCAGGATGGCTGCTGCCTTGTCCTCGTTCCAGTTGATGTGCGAGACATACTCATAACCCTTGAAGTGTTCGTACATTTGCTTGGGAGTCATTAACTGAAACATGGTCTGCAAGGCGTGGGCACTGTGATGGGGTGGAAAAGGCACAGCATCAGCATCCCCAGGAAGCAGCTCTCACTGTGCAAAATCCCCACCGAGCACCCCCGACTCACCCGCAGCCATTCTGTCCTACGTGAGCACATGTTTCCATTAAAATGGGACCTGGATGGTTATTTTATTTAATAGATTGATGTACCATATTAAAGGTGTAACCTTACAAACCTTTTACAGATACACCCCCAAATTAAATTAATAGGCAATTTCCTTTCTCAGTTTCTAGTCAACGAAACAGGAAGGGTAGTGGAGTAGACAGCCTGATCAGATATGCCGGGCTCAGCGCTGCACGCTTGCTTGTGCAGAAATCCCAGACGACAGCTCTCCCGAGGGAGAAATCTCAGACGGAGCGCCTGACACTTGACGGAGCGGAGTCCACAAGTGCACAGAGGATAATTCTTATTTAGCCGTCAGTCGTTGGTCTTTCCCTTTAACAGTCTGTGATGGAGTTCAGCTCACATCATTTAACTCCACGTGGTATGACCAATTCCTCTTGCCTACTTTATAGTTGCCCCGATTTTCAACATCATGGGTAGGTCTTCTAAAATCCTACAATCACTAACTACAGTCTCGATGAAAATGATAAATCTTGAAAAATTCCCCATAAGGTGCTTTTTTGAGCTGGTCTAGTCCACTCTAATATTTCCTAATATTCTATTACACCAGACAGCTAGCTAGGGTAACAGTTAAGTATTAATACAAATACACTTGCAGACGTCAGAGGGAAGTGGTTTCTGAGGAAAGGACAAAAAATAGATGGCTTGGATTTTCCTCCGTGTGTTGGATTACCTGACAAGCTTTCCAGTGCTGTTCTTGACTGTGCCACCCACAATCAGTTCCTCCTGCCAGTGCATATACTTTCTGGATAATCCATGACACCCACCATTCAAAACAAGGGCCATATCAAGAGGCTAAAAATAAAAAGACAGCCTCATAATTACAGGAATTAGTAGGCAGGTCACATGCCTTGTTAAAATCCAGTGCATTAAGGGCTTGTTTGTTTCAGTGAGAACATTAATAACAAGGCTAATGAGAGGCGTATGGCAAATCTTACAGCAAAATTTAGCTCTTTAAACAAACTTAGTTCCATAGACCAAAAAAGTCATTGAGAATGAAATCTTAAAAATAAAAATAATAGAACTAAAAATGGGGGCAAATAGCAGGTTTTTCTCCCTTCCCCTCCTGAGGAGCAATCAATGGCTGTACTTACTTTGGTTGCATTTTTGTTGGGGGCTGTGGCAGGGCAGTCTGGATCAGCCGGATTGAGGCAGGGCCGGTCCATGTAACCATGACCAACTTCAGCCTTATTCAGCATTTCCTCCCAGCTGTCCACTTGATAGTTTATTTTCTTTAACTCTTCTAGGAATTCCAAAGGGTCAAAGTTTGTCCACTGCAAAGGAGGCTTACCTCTGTGAAAGAAATTAGGAGGCAAGACAATGAAAAAGAGGCTTCCAAGCCCTTAGTAAAACAACAAGACTGAATCTACTGCATCTGGATTGTATGACGCTTTCTGGGGAAACAACTGTAATTCTGGGACCTTGGCACAAAAACCAAATGCTCCTTTCCAGTATACCTATATGCAAACCTAAGTCAGGAAAATAATTCATGAATGAACATGGCAAACAGAGAGCTTATAAATTAACAAAGGTACCAAAGAATCTTAACTTGCTGATATAGTATATTTAATACCTAACACCCAAATTCGCCAAATGGGTGCTTCTAAGCATAAGACTGAGACCCAAAATTAAGGGGTGGGGGGCGCAGAGGAAATCACAATGTCAAATTAGCACTTGCCAGCCTAATAAATGCTTTGTAAATGTCATCAATCAAAATATTTGATCTCCATTACCTTTAATAATCCCATACTTATGAGCGCTCTCTGACAGCCTGGCAGTCAGCCCCACGAGCCCCCTGCTGCCTCTGCCATCACCGCCATCAAGGCCACTTCCCCCCACACTCACTTTTGAATTTGTGCTGCTGACAGACCAGAAAGGCTTTTGGCTGCCTGTTATGTGGTTCAAACCACACTGTAGCTGCTTAACCAGGCTGAAGTCATTATTCAGAATCTCCCAACCAGAAAACACAAAACCCCTTATTTCCCACCTAAAACTGTACACTGAAGGTCAGGGTATGGCCACTGCAAATTGCTTTTGCAGATATGTGCAAGCTAGGAGAGAAACAATAACCCAAGCACTAACCCTTGCATAATTAACTGAAAATGTCTACACTGATTAACAATTATTCCTTAAATGATGCCGTGTACATAATATTCAACTGCTAAACTGTGAAGCATCCCCTACCATGACCTTCAAAGATAGTGGATTTCCCTCTTAAATGCCATTAATGTGATCCAAAGAAAGGTTAGCATTTCACTTAACAGGAAGATCTTGAACTTCGACACGTACCCACTAATAAATTCTCTCCTTAAAAAATAAGCTAAACCTACGTTAAGTGCTTGGTGTACAAAACTGCAAATATTTTAAAGAGTTAAAAATCACACATACTCTGAAATAATTTGCATTTTATTTGCATATAAATGGGCTAGTAAAAGTGAATGAAATTTAATGATGCCTACAGAACTTTTTTTGAAAAGAGGAGAAACATTCTGCCGAAGTGCCCTCTCCCCCAACTATTCACTCAAAACATGCACATGGAATTTCAATGTTTTTATTTCTTGTCCAAAACTGAAATAGAATAAACAATGATAAGGTAACATCAGAAACATTCTAGAGTTTAGAAATCACAGACATCAGAAAACAAGATCACACACTTACAGTAGGTATGCTGTCCCAGACTGTAACTTCGCCCCTTCCCAGAAGCAGTCCAAAGGTGTAATAATTAAACAAGGGTAAAGATATTCTATTATCTGTCAAAGTTGAAAAGTATAGGCCACGCATTAGGGTAATGTATACCACTGGGCTATTTGAGAATTTTTGAGAATTTTTTGCAAACAGAAAGAAAATATACCTGATCCATGTAACCTGTTTCTGTGATAAGTTCTCCAGATTTATAACACAAATGTTCCAATTTCCATTGCCTATTAAAATAAAAAGCAGAGACAAAAGTTTCTTATAGTAATAAAGGAAATGTGTGCAAAATCAGAACTACAGAACATACAGAGAGAACTGCAATTTTGATCACTTTTCAGTATCTGTCAAAATGAGCAGAGCTTTGCCAAATGGATTCAACAAGCTTGCTTTAATGAATAGATAATACTCAACTGTAATTAACATGTGGGGTGTTTATGTAAATGAATGCTACCCAAAGTACTTGAAAAGTCTTGTTTTCTTAAGTGTTCTCCCAATAATCTTGTTTACACCATTAATCTGCTTTTCCACATACATTAAACAACTTCAGGGCAGATAATTCAGAGTCGAATTATCACAAATTCAAAATAGGTGGGGACTAAATTAGTAAGGTTTATAATGTATTAACATATATTGAGGTGGGAAAATATTACTTTTTTTTACTGGTAAATTATGTCCTTATTAACAGAGAGTGTTCAAAATGAACTTTCCTGCTCTTAACCACAAATGCTATAAAGAACATTACCAGGTAGATTGGTTTCCCACTTTACATTCTTCTATTCTTGTCCTACAGAAATTATATCAAATATACTGATCAACAATTACCTGTACTATCCATCGTCTATTATTATAGCATTTTGTTATCCCTAGAAGAGTGCTATATAAGCCCAGGCCTTCCCAAGTGTATTAGGGAAATGAGTCTAATTTGAAAAAAGAGAAAATTAGGAAAAGGTGGGGATGGGAACTCCAGGAAAAGAAAAAATATAAAACTCCTTCTAGACTGCTCTGTTTCATTGGTCTCCTTTTTCTTCTATTAGTCGCCCAAAAGAACGTTCTGGACTTCGCCCTCTTCCTTGTGGAACCTTCCCATCCATCCCTCAGTGCCCCGCTGAAATGCCACCTTTTTGCTAAGCTTTCTTTGATCAGTGCTGTTGAAAGTGACCTCTTTCTCTTGAACCCCAGAGCAATGCTGGTCGGCTCTCCTTCTTGACACTGGAGCACCTGTAGGAGGGACTGCCTGTGTTTGGCTTTGTACATGCGTCTCTATATTGTCTTTCCTCTCCCTAACTTAGGCTGTGGTGGTTTCATTCCAGAACTCCTCCTATGCTTTTACTACATCCACAGCATTGCTAAATTAGCTACAAAGCTAAAGGGTAGTATTTGGTAAAGGTGTGTGAATCCACCTTACTCTGCCTACCTGTCCCCAGGAATTCACCACAGTGGCTCAACCCCCTATTTTTTGGTGACACATACCAACCGCTAACATCTGTAATGAATAAAGTAATGAGAAGTAACTTCTTTTTCTTTTTTACTCTTTGTGAGGTGACTAAAGGCAATTCAAAATGTTAACTGTTCCAAAAACAGGTTAAGCAGTGAAACATCTTCAGAACGGTGGACAGCCATCCAAATGGCTGCTTGAAGGACCATACTCATTTCGGTACAGTGCCAAGATACTCACTGAAAACACATTATAAAGTAATGTAGTTCATATGTCACTAAACTTTAGAGACAAATCAAGATTTTAAAAATCATTTCACGAGAAAACTGTTTGAACTAACACTTCTGCTGTATTTCCAGGGCAACTTTATTTGCTAAAACAAAGGGGTCTAAACCAGCAGCCTCTCCCCACCACCTTACCTGTTATACATATATACATGGACCCGGCTGGCCTGGAGCGCCGAGTCCAGGTGCTGTCGGAGTGCCTCCGTGGTCAGGACATTAGCACCGTCTTCCTTGGGGGTCTGAATCATGAGTTGAGGATTAAACATAGCCTCTTCTCCAATCTTCTGGCGAGTGTAATTTAATTCACGACTTACTCGCCCACCAACTGGTAAACACGTACAGGTTTCAATTAGAACAGCAAAATCCCCACAAATTCACATTCTGTTACCTCACTAACAGGAGCAGGGTGCACGATAAACGAACTCTGGTCACAGAAATGTATGGCTGATGTCTAAGGGGTAACATTCACTTTATTATGACTGGCAACGTTAACTCTACCAATAACAAACATATAAAAAATACTCACTAAAACCTATTAACAATGGTCCTGCCTGTCACACACGCAAGCCTAATGCATGCGTGCTTTGTGCACCTTCTAACTAACACACCATATGTATAAAGGGGGAGGGGGAAGGAAAACTTGAGACACTTTTCCTTGCAGACCAGACCAAATACCCCTGTTACAATTTCTTTCACTTGTATAAACAATGTGCCCCTGCAGCACATTTCAAGATAAATGGCTTCAATTTACACTCTTCTCCTAAATAATCTGGCAAAGGTAACAAGGAAATGTTTCTTCTTGTTGGAAAAAGAAACAAGGAAAGGTGGCAAATGTGTATTTAGCATAAAACTTGCCAGGAGAAGATAAATAATGTGATTTATGTCAGATGCACAAGGGGAAATCCCACTTGAGAAGAACCAAATGTATCAGCCATGGCTGTCTTGGGAGGCCCTGGAACCTGCTCTCTCAGATTCACCTGGTCAGCATCCAGAAAGCACAGGTGCCAGGTTCTGAGTCACCTGGGGGCGGGCTGCCTGTGTTCTGGAAGCTCCCCTGGTGATTCGGAACCCCTGCCCCAGCTTCTCCAGCAGGCGGCCGAAGCTGGGCATGAGAGAAGCCAGCACAACAAAGCACGAGTAATGTTGTTACTAAAAACTGCTTTTTTTGTCTTCTTCCTCGGGTTCTAAGCTGTATTTCAATCAGGGTTTTAGAACGCGCCAAGCTCAGGATGCTGCACTGTCTGGGACATATGGAGGGAAAGGAGTTTTACTTCTCAACAGGCCCCTGATGGGAGCTGTGAAATGAAGCTCTGGAGAGGCTGCTTTGATTCAACACGGCGAACGGTAAGGGCTTTGAGGGAAGGCCCGCAGGGACAGCTAACAGAAGAGAATCCTCGAGCACCCTCACCCCTACACACTCCAGTTCCAAAAGGCACTGCAAGCTGAATGTTTACTGAAAAGCAGGCCTTCAGTTCTATCTTTTAGAAAGAACCCTTAGGGATCATCTTAGCTTTCCCACGAGGAGGAGAAATCCTTTTTCTTCAAGTTTAGTATTCAAGGACATAAACATTTGGTTTGAGCAAGTAAATAAGTACTGGGAACAGCGGGTTGTTTAGTTCTCTTGGCATATTTTATAAACAAGGGAGCAAGCTAAAAAGCAAATAATGCCCTCATTAGGAAAACTAGTCCAGATTCGCAGACTGGCAGAGTCATCTGTGCAGGTTCACGCAGATGGCCAAGGCCACCGTGGAACTCTGTGAGGTGAGGTTGAACATACTGTGGTGTGTTGGAGAGACAAGAGGAAGAGGGAGGGGGGGAGGGGGAGGGAGGTGTAGGAGGAGAGAGAGGGAAATGATCATTGGCTATAAAAACTATTTAGATGCTGCGGAAAACTTTGGCAGATAGCCCAGGGAACTCCTGAGGCCCCAGTAATCAGTTTGAAGTTAAAAGACCATAGGAAAAAATAGGAAACAACTTGCAGCAGACCCTGCATTTACATAAGGCCATAGGCCTTCTCAGGATGCTACATAAAAGCTGCCTGCAGGCAGGGTCTGGCTCCTTCTGGCAGGAATCACTATGTATTATGTCAACCAATTAGTGAACTGAATTACACTCAATCCACATTCTCTTGAGCGAGAAAAGCTGTTTGAGGTCCCCCCCTCCAAAAAAAGCCAATTATTAGTCCAGAGGTCACTCCTGAAAAGCTACAGAGCTGCACACCAAGGAGCTCCAAATAGGCTTTTCTGAAGAAAAGCTCAACCCCTCCTTTTTTCAGACATCAATGCCCCGTGGCTATCAGACATCAATGCCCCGTGCCTATACCTGCCTCCTTAAGCACTGGCATAGCACGTGATTTCTCATGCTGCTTACAAAGTCGTAACGCCAGGTGAATTCAGACCATGAGGTAGAAACAACCACCACCAAAGCAGGACCATAGACCTCCCCGCGGCCCACTGCCCCCCGGCCCCTGCCTGCCCAGCAGAGCGGCTGCCTACAACTATAACCAATAAGGTGATGACCCAGGAGGGAAGTGCACACAGAAATAAAAACCAAATGCAAGGTTCATGCTGCTAAGAACTAACTAAACTCTTCTAGACCAATCTAATAATGGTTCGATTAATTTACCTCAGGGGGTTTCAGAAATGATGCTATTTCCTACAAGATATAAAATGTACCTCAGGGATTCCATAATGTCACCTTTTTAGAGTTTTCAAGATGTATATTTAAATAAACACTTATATTTTAATAAAGGGGTACAGTTTTCACATCTCTAGAATTGAAAACCTTTTTGCTCTTCCACCTCTTTACGCTAGTGATAAATGTGAATATTTTGCTAACGTGACAACCAGTTTCAACGAAGACAAGACTATTATCATTGGTAGATCTAGCAACTAGAGTTGAAGGATCCTGAATTCTAGTTTCCACAACCAGCTATGCTGTATCCTACTTTTGAGTACTGTTAAATTAGATTTACTTTTCCATATTACATGACCATATTTTACTTAACACTTCATCTTCTATAAACAAATATGAACGTTTCTGCAAAACTATTCAGTAACTTTTTAAAAAGTTTAGTTGATATCCACTTTCTCTGATAAATAGTTGTAACATGACTCATTCAGCCAGCAAGCATTTGTGGGGTTCATGCTATGTGCTGTGTATTGGGGTGTGTGGTAGATTAGACAGCTCCAAGAGGCTCGCTGGCCAGTGAAGCAAACAGGCAGTACACAAGCAAACCAATGTGGTAGTTTCATGGCATGACAAGTGCTATGGAGGAAATCAAGGTGGCGATGCCATGTGAGTTACTGGGTGGTGGGGCAGGGGAAAGGCCAGTTCGAATGGAGTTGCCAGGGAAGACCTAAAAGGAAGAGACACTTATGTTGACCCTGAAGACCTGGGGAAACAGCATTCTGGCCAGAGGAACTAGCAACCACAAAGTCCTCAGGTTTGGCTTGCAACAGGGAGAGAAAGAAGGCAAGAGTGGCTGGAGCTTGGTGAGCCCATAATCGTGTCACTCACTTGGTCGCACTGGTAGACTTTGCTCCTTCTCAGGTGGACCTGTGTCATAAACTGCACAGCACTCATATGCTCTTACATCAGTATTCACCCAAGTCACTCTAGAACAAGCTACCAGGAACAGAAATCCTTCTGGACAAGCCAGTTTTACAGATTCACTGACTTTTGCGACTCTAGCAAATGCCTATCCTACATCACAGCTGAGTGACGGCCCCGAGCTGTTCCTTATCTTGCTGTCTTGCTTACCACGCAGGAGTGTGAAGCTATGGTCTCAGGAAGCCCTTTCAAGTACTGAAATTACAGGTGTGGTTTGGGGGAAACTGTTTGCTCCCTTCTCTTTACCATTATCAAGGTCAAAGTCCTTTTTTTTTAATTTTTATTTTGTGTGTTTTGGAACAGCTAATAGCCCTTTATTTTTTAATTTTTTTAAACATCTTTATTGGGGTACAATTGCTTTACAATGGTGTGTTAGTTTCTGGTTTATAACAAAGTGAATCAGTTATACATACACATATGTTCCCATATCCCTTCCCTCTTGCGTCGCCCCCCCTCACCCTCCCTATCCCACCCCTCCAGGCGGTCACAAAGCACTGAGCTGATATCCCTGTGCTATGTGGCTGCTTCCCACTAGCTATCTACCTTACGTTTGGTAGTGTATATATGTCCATGCCTCTCTCTCGCTTTGTCACAGCTCACCCTTCCCCCTCCCCATATCCTCAGGTCCGTTCTCCAGTAGGTCTGTGTCTTTATTCCTGTCTTACCCCTAGGTTCTTCATGACATTTTTTTTTCTTAAATTCCATATATATGTGTTAGCATACGGTATTTATCTTTCTCTTTCTGACTTACTTCACTCTGTATGACAGACTCTAGGTCTATCCACCTCATTACAAATAGCTCAATTTCGTTTCTTTTTATGGCTGAGTAATATTCCATTGTATATATGTGCCACATCTCATATTTATGAAATACCGCATAGTCATTTTTGACTACTGCGCAGAATGACCTGTAAGGTCCAGCATTTGTGATACCGATGTAGGTATACAGCCATGTGAACAGTGGTTATTACTGTGCAGTGGTTTACGAATAGTATTTACTCACTTTACTTTTTGGGGTTTATCTCTATTTCTTAATCCTTCTGCAGTAAACACGTATAATTAAAGACTCCCGTGTGACAAAAAGAGAAAAATACGAAAGCTACTTGACAGGCATCTGAATTAAAAACAAACTCAATGCAAAAATATTACGCATCTCTATCATATTCTGAAGTCCTCTGATGTTTTTTTCCTTCTTCCAAACCGAAAAACTGTAACAACAAAATAACAACCAAGCTTTTTGAACAACACTCAGGAAAACTGTTACTTAGGATCCTGGACACAAAATAAACGTTTACATGTGTGTGGTGCTTTGCACTTGCAAAGCCCTTCACACTCATCATTTACTTATTTTTAAACATTTTGCTTACTGCTACTCCCCAGTCAAGATGGGGCAAGGTGGAATGGACAGGCAATGGGAACAGATATCAGAAGACCTGGGTTCTGAGTCCCAGTCTTGCCACCCGAGGCACTGAAATTTGGGAGACAGTTGAGTCTCAGGAACCTTCTGCGTAAAGTGGAATAAAAATGATACTACTAACCTCATAGGACGGTGTGAGCACTGACAATTATATGAAATTTCCCAAACCCTTAACCAGGTGCCGAGCAGACATCCATTCATTTATTTGTTTATTGCAGGGCATGCATCATCGCCCTTATTTTACAGAGCAGGGAACAGAGCTGCAGAGTTTGGGTGACTTGCCCAAGGTTATCAGC